ACACCGAATTAACATTCAGCATATCCAAGATGTTGCTCACATCCTCCTTCCACTTGTGTGCAGCAATAGAATCCGTCGAACCGTGGAACTCTGGAGCTTTCAACTTTTGATACCTCTCAACTAAACGAAGTCAAGCCTCCTGATCAGCTTCTCTGCCATTAACTGGTGGTGCCTGTGGGACCACTGGTGTCCTCTCTGATACTTCCTCCCGAATAGATGACTCCTGAACGGGTGCCTCTTCAGGAACGGGAATCTCTGGACGAACCTGTGCTGCTAACTGCTCCTCAATAGCCGCCATACGAGCTGCCAATGGTGCTATGAGATCCACTAAGTACTGCGGAGCTTGCTGTGGCTCGGGCTCCCTATCTTCCTGTCCAACTCCCTGAGCACGAGAAACTTGGCGTCCACGACCTCTTCCTGACATCTATAATTTCAAAAATAAAGATTATTACGCAGTAAATAGGATCTCAAGCATGAAGAATATAACATATACCCATAAGTAAATCGTATCACTTATATTTCATGTCATGCTTAATTTGTCAAGCAAATAGTTCAAAAAAAATTTTGTAGATTTTCCGTGTACATATATATAATACGCCCGCACTCATACTAGGGATTCCTAGCGGACTGCATACATGATCCCTAGGAAACTCTATCCTAACTCCACAATTTGACACAGGAATGATCCTAAGGATGCTGGAACTAGAGCTCTGATACCAACTGTGACGCCCCAGGGTTCACACATCTTTCAATTGGCATTATTTTGGTTCAATGTCAAACCTACCAAGCACCAAACACCATGCTACGACATGTTTCACCATCACAATCTTTGTTATTTAAAAGTTCTAGTTCAAAAGTATATGTGCAGCAGATTTTCAGCAGAACATAACAAGCATGATTATTTGCACAAGAAATCATATGTAAACCTTCAATCATGCACGAAACTTTAAAACGAAGCATAAGACATCTAAATTCAGATAAACAATGTTTAAATTATTTTTAGATCTTAAAATACTTCTATAAATTCGTGCTTAATCTCTTTAACATGAAAAGACCTAGTCTTTATACATATATACAAAAGATCCAATTTTTATATACAAAATAATTGATTAGGCTCTATAAAACTCATTAAAAACTCTTTAAAAATATTTTAAAAACTGGGAGGGGGATTAGTAGAGATGATACTCGCCTGGGGTTATAGGAAAACTTGTTAGAAGCAACGTCGAAGGAGATCTCCACTCCAAAAGCCAAAAATCAACAAAAACCCAACTTGAAAGCCTCCAATCTTCTCCAAGAATTCAAAATAGGGTTTATGGGGGTTTGGTAGCTGTTAGGGTTCTTAGATATGATAAAAGAAAAGAATTTTCATGAAAAATACAGGTATTTATAGAGGCAAACCCGAAACAAACATGTTAGACCCGAACCAGGAAACCTAGTCTGACTAGGAAAATACATATTCGGTATTTTGGTTATAACTTTCTCATACGACCTCGGAATGAGGTGATCTAAGACTTGTTGGAAATCTGTTGAAGAGACCTACAACTTTGGTCTTTTACACTTTTCCAAATTCTAACTGTATCAGTGTGTAAAACATAAAAACTCATAACTGGTCATTATTCCCAGATTTTCACTCTTTTGGCCTTTGTGCATGTTTTGTGCATTTGCACTCATATTTTCACAAATATATATTGAATTGATCTCAAATCAATTCTTATCATATCCAAACATCAAAATATATTATTTTTCACCATATAACATATTTATCATAAAATATTCAAATTTACGGGGTTTTACATAGAATTCCTAACAAACAAATACAAACACTCGACAAACAATGTTAAGAATTATTTGTTAATCATCAAAACTAGATTAGACAATAGGCTCATGAACATGAGACCTAACAATGAAGACCGAAGTAATAAGGATTGTTTAAACTGTCTATGGAATTCCCAATTTTATGATAAGTTTTTATATTTTTAAGGAATAATTGCATATTAGTCGCTTAGATCATTCTTAATTGCCAAATTGTTACTCAAGTCTAAGTATTTGCTTTATAGTCCTCAAATGTTCAATTTTCGGGCAAAATCTGCTGGGGATTCGAAACAATTAAATCGAACCCTTGCCCTTTCGGACCTTGTGTTTGAGAGTGAGAAAGTAAGAAAAATCACAGCAAATAAAAGATAAAAAACTTGCAGGAAAGTAAACAAGAAAAAATACACCGGATTTAACGAGTGTTGCGCGCAGCGAAAATTTCGGCAGCACTTCGGCAGCACAACAAGAGAGTCAGATCGCAATAAGAATTCCCGTCTCACCAAGGAGATAAGAATCTGAAGCGGATATCTCAACCAAGTGAGATATCGGCTCTTCCTCTCATCAGTTCTAGGACTGACCTGTCGAGGGATCCTAAAAGCTATTACAAATCACACAAAAGCAGTACAACCAATTTTTACGTGGTTCGGCAAATTGCCTACGTCCACGGGGCAAGGAGTGGGGAGATCTACTAATAAAGGGAGAGAATACAACTAGGGTTTATAATTACTCTCAATCTAAACCCTCAAATAAACTCTCAAATCCCTCACAATATCTCTCTACAAAAGAGGTACACTAATCCCTAAAAGGCCTCTGCTTTTCGCTTTTGTTCCGCAGCTGCACAATTGAACCTGTAGCCGCAAAAACAAATCAAACTTCCTACTTTGCTTTTTCTTCTGCCGAAAAGAAACCAAAGCCGAAAAAAAATCCCGCAGCCACAAGCACGCTCAGCCTCCTTCGCACTTGCCCTCAATTGCGGCTGACCCCTCCTTTGCGTCACCAAAACCTAAACATCTCATACATCTTATATAATATAAGATGTATTTGGGTAGGCCTTCATGGGCCGACGTTCACAACGAGGTTCGACAATCGTGCCCACGTGTTCGGGAGCCACACCACACAATTCTTTGATTAATATTAAAAAAGATTACAATACCCACAAATATGATCTAATCTCTCTGAGATCTTTCTGAAGAATTCTCTCAAAACCCTCTTTTTCTGATGTCTAATCTCTTCTAAGGCGTTCCATATATATAGAAAATCTAAAACCAAGACAGACTAGGAGTTCTAAAACTAAAAAACAAAACAGATTATGAATCCTAATAACTTGTTACCAAAACAGATTAAGAATCATGTTACCAAAACAGATTAAGAATCATGTTACCAAAACAGATCCTGCTATCCAACAATTTGTTTGATTCAAGCTTTGAGCCTACATCCCTTAGACTAACAAAATCGTCCCTCTTGTTGGGTGACGATACTTACGAGAGTGAACTTCTTTCAAGTTTAACACAATTAGATGGTGTTTCTGCTATACTCCCATCTGTAATTAACCCCATTATTTAAAATGCCAACCCGTTTCATAACAAGTTTATACCTGAAACTAGCTCCAACTAAAATCTAACCACACCAACTTCTTCTTCTCTAACAGTCAAGAGCTTTCCCAAATCCAATACAAAGCTTTTTTTTCCAATAGTTACTAGTACTTCAGTGCACGCGATGCGTGCACGACACAAAAAATTCAAGACATTTTGGTTTGATTTTTACAGTGTTGAGAGGATTCAGTTGTTTTTTTCCAAGTGTAAATATATTTATTTTGATTTTAAAATGAGAGAATATTTTTGAAATCTATAAAAATTTGACATACAAATAAAAAAAATGGCTTTTCTTAAATAATAACATAGATAGTTATATTCCCAACAAGACTTAAATAAAAACCACATGTGGAAACTCAAGGCAACTTGGGTATATTTAGATGTTGCGTTAAGGCTTAATCCAACTATAGTTTTAAAACTTAAAGAATCCGTAACAGAGGGATAATGTTGCAAGAAAAATAAAGATTTGAGGGACTAATACGCAAATACAGAGATTTGAAACAGACTATTTGCTAATTAAGGATGACATAATAGACTAATATGCAGTTACCCCTATTTTAAAGTTCACACATAATAGACTAATATGCAATTACCTCTGTTTCAAAGTTCACACATGAGTTTTCTCTAATTTTATAAATTGAGGGATATTTCAACAAACTCTATACTCCAAGGGGGTTTTGTGAAATTTACATTAGCTTTCTCAAGTAAATTTCATAAAACCCCCCGAACATCAAGGCCTTACATAAAAATTCTACTAAACCTCTATAAACTTTGAGGTGTCTCACAAAATTTTTCTAAACTTTTAAAATTTTCCAATGGAACCCAGCAACGTTTAATGACATCCGTTTTCATTATTTTGACAGTGTATCTTAAACGCTCCGCGTCTTGTGAGACATCCCGAAGTTTAAGGAGGTTCATTGAAATTTTAAAAAAATTGTGACTTTCATGGTAAACACCCTAATACTATATATATATTAATATATATATATATATATATATATATATATATATATATAAATATATATATATATATATGAGATTAATGGGTATCGCTGTCATAGAGGGGATTTCCTCCTTTGAGCGCCTCTAAAGATCACTGATTGAGCGATATTATGGATGATTCGGCTCGCGTTGGAAACTTGATTACATATTCTAAAACCCTAACACACTAATTTGGGGTGAAATCCGTCGTCGTTTGACCCTCGCATCGAGCCATGTGAAAGGAGTTCTATCATTCAATAACCGTTAAAATTGATATATGGAAAGTGTCAAAACGACGACGGGTTCACCCGCAAACTGTGTGTTGGTATTTTAGAATATGTAGATCAAGTTCACAACGAAGCGATCATCCACAATATCACTCATCATGTATTTTAGAAGGCGTCAAGGAGGAAAATACTCCTCCCATGACAAGGATACCAATTAATATATATATATATATATACTATATATATATATATAATAGATATTATATAATATATATATATACTATTGGGTGGGGGGTGTTCTGCAATTTACCCAAATTTCAATCCAGAAGGAGGCTGCACATATTGCCAGCAGCCATACAAAAAGTTCCGCAGAATTGCGCCCGTCACCGTCACCCCCTCGTCTTCCGTACTACGCAGATGCGCAATCACCCTGCAAAGGCAGCGACAGAGCTAATAATAAATTACCATACAAAAGAGAAAAGAAGTGAACAAGGCCAAGGCTCCATTACTTTGCTTAACGAGGGAGAGAAAGAAAAAAGAAGATTCCCACAGCAAGACTTTGAGGTCTTCTCTCAACTTTATGAAAACCCCATCAATAGTTTTTTTTTTTTCCACATATGGTTTCATTTTAGCAGAGTAACCCTTGTTGATTCATTGAAGAACCCACCTAACATCTTGATTATTCAAGCACTAAGCTGTTTATTTTACATGGGTAAGCTGTTTATTTTACATGGGTCTGTGAGAAATATCAGTTTGAGCCCCTCAAGAGTTGCGGGATGAAGGAGATAGAGGGATCATTGATGATTCATTGAGTTTGTTCTCTACCTTTGGTCATTCATGCATTGAACTGTTTTATTTACATGGGTCTGTGAGCAAATTCAATTTGAGCCCATCAAGAGTTGCTAGATGAAGAAAATGGAGTGGTGTCTGTTGATTCATTGAGTTTGTTTCTGTAATTTTGATTATTCGTGCGTTAAACTGTTTTATTTACATGGGTCTGTGACCAAATTCGATTTGAACATCATCAAAAGTTATCCTTGTTGCCGTTGATCTCTCTGTGATGGAGACCAACAAGGATGAAGCAGAGAAAGCAATGGCGGAAGCCGAAGAGCTCTTCAAAGCAAACGACCTACGTGGTGCGAATCGCCTAGCTTCGAAGGCCGAAACCCTTTTCCCGTCTCACCCTCAAATCCCTCGTCTCCTCGCTGCTCTTCGCGTGCACATAGCCGCTGCCTCTAAGCCATCAGCCCCTACAGTAGCTTACTGGTGTGGCATTCTCGGGTCGGACCCTAACGATGATATCCGATCCATTAAGCAACAGTTCAAGAAGATGTGTTTGCTAACTCACCCTGATAAGAACTCCTCGGCCGCTGCTGAGGGCGCGTTCAAGCTCGTCACTGACGCTTGGAACTACTTGTCAAAATATGTTTCCAGCGAAGCTTCAGGTTCCGATAAGGGTTCGAAGGCTAATTCTGATACTTCTTCGAATCAAGATGCCAATCACAGTGGTGCTCAGGATTCTGATTCAGGTTCTGGTTCTGGCTCTGGCTTTTATACCTCTTCGGACAAATCTAATAAGCACAATTCTTATAATAGCCACAACAGCAGTCATAGTAGTTCTTCCAATGCTAATGACCAGGGTGCCAAGACTAACTTTGGTTCTGGTACTTCTTCAAATCGATCCGAGGAACAAACTTCTAGTGGTAATCAAAATGGCAATCACAGTGGTGCCCGGGATTCTAGTTCTAGTTCTGGTTTTGGATCTGGTTCTTACACTTCTTCGGACAAATCTAACAAGCACTATTCATATGATAACTACACTAGCAATCAAAACAGCCAACAAAGTTCTTATGATACTGGTTCTGGTTTTCATACTTATTCGGAGAAATATGATAACAAAAATTCAGACGATAAACACAATAGCAGTGGCAACGGTGGTGAGGATACTAAGACCGATTTCGGTTCTGATACGTCTTCAAATCAGTCTCATGAACAAACTTCCTATGAGTATGACAGTAGCAATCAGAGTGGTTTTGGTTTTAGGACGGATTCTACACAATCTTTTACTGCTGTCTTTGGTTCCGCAATCAAGATTGAGATAGACTTGAAGAAGCAGGAAACGGAGCTAGTAAGAAAAATGTTCTCATGGTCGCTCGAAGATGTCTTTAATAAATATCTCTTTAGGGAGAAGGTTAGTAGTTTCTATCAGATTCAAACCTGTTATTAAATTCATCTCTTTGTCAAGGATTGCGGAGGTTACATAGAAACAAACTAATGATTATAATTTATATGATTGCTCTACCCAAAATGTCTGATTGTAGCTAATATCAGTATTTAGTTAACAATAAAAAAATTAAAATAAAACATATATGGGATTCTGCGATAGTTATGACAAAAACATAAGTTCCTGGTTCTTGCAGGACATGCTGGAAATTATTATTACTTATGCTTTCTTCGAAAATTTTCAATCCCCTCTAATCTAATATAAGAATCGTACATTGGTTGCTCTTCTATAATTGATGGAATGTACAAGGCAGAATCTATTTTTGGTAAACACCAAATACTTTATCCTCGAGAATTGCTTTGATAAAATCTCTCCAATAATAAATACATTTTAGACTTTCCAACTGAATTTTTGTTGTGCGGTCCAGAATAATAAATATTGAAAAGTAACAGTACATGAACAAGCATTTGATAAAAGTTCACTGAGTTTTTGTCAAATTGATCTATTTCGAGCTTGCTTTTACAGGTGAAAAATATTCCAGAAACATTTTCGTCTTTGGAGCAATACTTAAGTTCCTATACATATCCACTGCTTGAAGAAACTCGTGCCGACCTATGTTCATCTTTGGAAGTCTTATCTCAAGCTCCTTTTATCAGAATACATTCTCTTCAAGAAGTTACATCACTTAAAATGACATACTTTATTGAGCTTGGAAACAGAGAAAACTCAGTTGGAAAGGAATCATACACTCCAATGGTAGCTTTATTGAGCTTGGAAACAGAGAAAACTCAGTTGGAAAGGAATCATACACTCCAATGGTAGCTGATATATTTGTGTTATCTGAACTGAGTTGGAAAGGAATCATACACTCCAATGGTAGCTGATATATTTGTGTTATCTGAACTGAGACCAAGACGTGTATCTGATCTTACTAGAGATGGGAGACCGTATACACTTGCTTTGGTTGTCAAAGGTGGAGGTAGTGAAGGGCCAACAGCGAAAAGGTTCGTTATCAAAACATCGCAGGAAGTTCCAGTTTATAGTAGAGAGGAGGAGCCGAGAAAGTCACTATTTGCAATTTACTTGTCATCTGTGAACTCGTACAATCGTATTTGGAAATCGCTGGATTTCGATATGGTACGGAATAAAAATGCTAGTATTATCAAAATGGTCTGGGAGTATAACCCTTTGGTATGTACCAATATCCTATCATCTCATTTTTCATTGTTTATTTTTACTTAAGGTGAACCACAAGAACCTCCATGTTGATTTTTTTTTAAAGAACCCTTCATCTATGATCATTAATAATGTCATTAGTTTTCTAATAGAGCTTGGTTCTTCAGACATCTGAACAAACATCTACATGCGGAATTCTTGGTTAATGATAAATATGTTAGATTTTTCCTATTATACAAGATATTTATTTATTTTCCGCCGCCCTTTAACTCCCAAAGTTTGTGAATTCTGAAGTGTGGACGTCTATCTAAATGCAAACATCTGCTAAAACATCTGAAGAACAAAAACTTTTTACAAAATTAACGGTTATAAATGAGGGGTTTCTTGGAAGAAAAACAATGTATAGATATAGGGATTTTCTGGTAGTTTACCCATTTACTTATTATGTGAACATATTTATAAACTAAGCAATCTCTTATTGCAACAGGATGCAGATGAATGTTCATCATCATCAGGTGCCACCTTTAGTGATTTAAATGTAAGACTTGGTTTATACAGGTTCAAGCTCAATGATTCACAACTGAATGCTGTATTGGATTGTCTCTCTGAAAGTGATCAACATGGGAAAAATTCTATTAAACTTATAAGGGGCCCTCCTGGAACTGGTAAAACCAAAACAATCAGTTCTCTGTTATGGGCTTTCCTAACAAAGAAATGCAGAACCCTTTCATGTGCACCAACAAATACTGCCATTAAGGAGGCAGCTTTGAGACTACTTAGATTAGTGAAAGAATCATCAAGTAGCAAGAATTGCTCTTTGGGGGATATTGTTTTATTTGGAAACAAGAGCAGGATGAAGATCAATGATGATCACAGTGAAATATTTCTAGATGATCGTGTTAGCAGACTTTCAAAGTGTTTTTCACATTTAACTGGCTGGAGCTATTGCTTGATCTCGATGATGAATTTTCTTGAGAATGCTATTTCTCACTATGAAAAGTATTTGGAAGAAGTAGACAAGCAAGAGAAGGAGAAGAAAGAAAATGAGAAGAAAGAGAAGGAGAAGAAAGAAAAGGAGAAGAAAGAAAAGGAATCTATAGTAAGATTGACGCTTAAGGAGTTCATACTAAAGCGGTTCTTTACTCTTGCGCAAGGCTTGAGTTTTTGCATGAGAACACTGTCTATGGATCTACCGAGATCTTCTACTTCCGAGAAAAACTTCAGTGACATGAATCTTCTACTCGAGGGTATAGATATCACTGGGACCTTGTTGAGATCAACAGATATTACAGACAAAATGCTTGATGAAGTATTTAAAATGTCGATAGAAGAAGAGGATTGCAACATATATGAGTTGCATCACATAAATGAGGGTACAGCTACAAAAACTAAGTTAAGGAGAACCAGAAGTATATGCATTCAAATTCTAAGGACCCTTGATAGTAATCTTCATCTCCCCAATACATTTGACAGACAGTCGATTCAAAATTTCTGTTTGAGTGGGGCAATCATTATTTTCTGCACATCTTCTAGTTCATTTCGATTACATAATGTGGAGATGGAAAAACCTTTGGAATGTTTGGTGGTTGATGAGGCTGCACAATTAAAGGAATGTGAGTGTTTAATCCCCTTACAGCTCTCTCGGATTCAACATGCCATTTTCATCGGCGATGAGTGCCAACTTCCGGCGATGGTTAAAAGTCAGGTATATAGCCACACATCTGTGATTTTTATTGTTAATCCGTCATGCTATCGCCCAATTGCAGATAGACCCTCTACAATTATATTGTTGCAGATAGACCCCCTGAGTAAAGTTTTTTACTCTTTCACCCTCAAGAGAAAGAGAAAATTGTTATTTTTTGACGAATAGACCTCTTGAGGGTAAAAAAGTCAAAAAATTCACTCAGGGGGTATATCTGCAATAAAATTTCTGGGAGTCTACCTGCAAATGGGCTACATTACAGAAGTTACATCTGCAATCAACCCGATTTTATTTCTGGGGTAAATTTCACAAAACCCCCCAGTACTTCAGTGTTTTGACAAAAAAAGAACCTAATATATTATAAATCAAAGAAAACGCTCTGAACTATTGGAAATTGTGAAGGGTAAAAAAGTACAAATACAGTTGTGACTGTCTACCTACACTAACCAAAACTCTCCTGGCAAAATTTGTCCAAAATTAATATGTCACATGCAAAGCACGTGACAACTTATATTTTAAGTGAGACATGTTTCAGGAGGGATTTCTCTGAATATAAAGTATTTTTCTATGTTTTTCTTTTGNGAGGGTGTTCTGTGAAATTTACCCTTTCTACCTATTACGTAGCCAACCTTGGTTTCCACTTCACTTTTCAGGCTTCTGAAAATGCTGCCTTTGGAAGAAGTCTTTTTGAGAGACTGAGCTCACTGGGACACAAGAAACACCTCCTTGATGTTCAATACAGGATGCATCCTTCTATCAGTAGATTTCCCAGCTCAAATTTCTACAATGATAAAGTCTCAGATGGTCCTAACGTTAAATGTGATAGCTATCGGCAGTGTTATTTACCTGGACCAATGTATGGTCCCTATTCATTTATAAACATTGCAATAGGAAAGGAAGAAACTGATACTAATGGGCGTAGTCTCAAGAATATGATCGAGGTTGCTGTCGTCTTGCAAATTCTCAAGAACCTATATAAATGTAGGTATTCCTTTATCCATTTATATTTGTCTTCTTGTATGATAACTGGTTTAGTTTTTTGGGTTGTTTGGTACTAGTCCCTGAAATCTTCAATAATTCCATATTAGTCCCGTAAATCCTAATGAGTCTTCCGATTTGGTTCCTCAACAACCAGAATACCTCTCAAGTAATGTATTTTTTAACAAGAGGGGGTTTTTTTTTTGGTGGGGGGGGGGCATAAATTGAGGGTTATGTTGGACATTGGGGGACCAAATTGTAGGACCTCCTAGGATTTGAGGTACTTATGAACCAATTTCAAGAGTTGAGGGACTAATTGGAATTTGAGGTACTTATGAGCCAATTTCAAGAGTTGAGGGACTAATTGGAATTACAGAATATTTGAGGGACTAGTATCTATATAACCCTTTATCCATATGTATTGCACACATCAAGCCTATTTCAAAATTGCATAACTAGTTTATTGTTTAGTTTAAGTTGTGTATTACATTTGTCATCGAAGTAAAACATACCCTCTTGTTCTACTCTGTTGTGGTTAATATAGAAAATACTTATTTCTTGTATAACCCATATACCAAGCCTATTTCGAAATTGAATGGACACATATCCACTAAATAATATAATCTTCACATTACACAACTGTATGTATATGTTCAATCATGAAATGGTTCAAATAAATGTGTGCATAGAATTAGTTTAACTTATGACAGACCTGGACTTTTTTCCTGAAACTTTCGAGCACCATATTACGCAAATATTCACATAAGTTATTCGGATTATTAACATATAATGATTCATGGTGTCACAGCAACTTCCACCAGGGGAAAACAACTTAGCATCGGTATCATATCACCATACACAGCTCAAATATGTGCAATTCAAGAGAAGCTTAAGAACATGTATTTTTCGTCTAGTGAATTCTCTGTGAAAGTTCAGTCTATTGATGGATTTCAAGGTGGAGAAGAGGATATTGTAATTATTTCTACAGTGAGATACAACAAAGGTGGACGCGTAGGCTTCCTTTCTAACCTCCAAAGAACAAATGTGGCTTTGACAAGGGCAAAGTAAGTTAAAGACATCTATGAAACTCCAGGCTTTAAGATTATTATTTTTCCATTAAATTTCACATAACCACCTATGATTTGCCCCATTCTGAGATAACCCCCTTAAACTTTATAAATGTCACTTAAACCCCTAAGTAACCTTTGGGGCTTGTCGCAAAACCACTCAAACGCTTTCAATTTTTTAAAATACCCTTAACCTTTGGGGCTGGTCACAAAAACACTTAAAATGCTTTCAATTTTTTAACATACTCCCCAGATGCTTAACCCTAATTTTTTTTAAACATAGCCCGCTTAACTTTCAACATTATTTGTAGCAAAAGCCAAACTTCCAACATTGTTTTCAGAAAACCCTCATGAACTTCTATTAAAGTTTCATGATAATTACAAAAACTTTTTTTTTTTTTGGGGGGGGGGGGGGTAATCCTTAAACGTTGGGGGGACGGGAGGGAGTAGTGACATTTATAAAGTTTAGAGGGTTATCTCAGAACAGTCCAAATCGTAGGGGGTTTATGTGAAGTTTTCCCGTTACATTTTTTTATACTTTATTTATAAACACAATAACATCAATTTCTAATTTTCCCTCTTATCTCCTTTTTCTCTTACTCCTCCTTCCATACCTCTGTATGTATTCTGCATCTGTTCTCTAGTTAATGTATCTTGCCCTGGTTGCTCAAAAAAAATGAAACTATAATTCTTTTATTTTGGACAGGCATTGCTTGTGGGTTTTAGGCAACGAGACAACCTTGATTAGAAGCAGATCAGTTTGGGAAAAAATAGTACGAGATGCAAAGAGTAGGGGTTGTTATTATAATGCCAGAGACGACAAGAGCCTGGATGAGGCCATCATCGAGGCTGCTGTTGATCTTGATGAACTGGAGGATTTGCTGAATATGGGTAAAGCAAGTTGGAAGGTATTTTATTTTTGGTTTACATAGTCATTTTTTGTATATCATAATTGAATGCACTTACAATAATGTCTCTATGCATATATATATCATAGTGCATATATTCACTACCGCCAAATTGGGTTCAAACTCATAGCAAAAATAATCATTGCCAAGCGAAGGGAACCTTGCAAGAATCCCAGAAGTTAAGGTTGCAATATGTAAAATTTGGATTTATTGGTTAGGGGCTAAAGTACACATAGATCCCCTGTAGTGCAACTGCTTTGAACTTACTACCCCTGTAGTTTCACTGTTGCAGATATCCCCCCGAGTAAATTCTTTTGGCTTATTTACCCTGAGATAAACTCACTAATTTCAACCAGGGTCAATATCTGCCCAAATTTCACGAAGGATAATGTTGCAGCGGAGGGGCTTCACAGACACAAAGATGTCTATACAAGAGTGGACAAATAGAAAACAACACACAAGATTTAACGTGGTTCGGTCAGTATGACCTACGTCCACGGGCGAGAACAGCAGAGAACTTCACTAATCACCAAAAGAGAAGATTACAAAAGAGGAGACCACTCTCTAATCAGAGACTCTCACAAAGAAAGGGACAAAACCTTTCTATCTCACTCTCTTCTCTCTCTATTTTCTCTCTACTCAACTGAGTTTTCGATGCTCTTAAACCCTCTCCCTACACCCCCTTATATAGGCTCAAAATATTAATAAAAAATACAAAGTTGGTAGGTGGAACAGGGAATATTAGGCAGCAGGGTAGGTGAATGTTGAATTTTCTAAAGGCACGTTTAACAGATAACAAATTAAAAAGAATTTCACACAGGGTCTACCTGCAACGATGAAACTATAAGGGTAGTAAGTTCTGAGATCTCCATGACTACACAGGTGGAAGGCGACGTATTTGTGTTGCGTGAGATTACATTTTGATGTTTCATTTACACGGCATCATACTAACCTTATTTATTTATTTGTTTGTTCATTTTAGAAATCTGATAGATCATCAAGCTCAAATTCACAGTCTGGTTTCGGCAGAGGAAGGAATTTGTTCATTTTAGAAATCTGATAGATCATCAAGCTCAAATTCACAGTCTGGTTTCGGCAGAGGAAGGAATAACTACAGAAATGGGTTTCAGATCATCAAGCTCAAATTCACAGTCTGGTTTCGGCAGAGGAAGGAATAACTACAGAAATGGGTTTCAGAGATGGTGATCCTTTTAGCTTAGGTTGAAACTGTTGCTTGTTTCAAACAAGCATTAAGTTTTTGATAAGGCCAATTCAAGGATACTGAGGAGATATATATTTTCAAACAAGCTGGTTTTTGTATTTAAAACCAATCAAAAGAAAGAGCTTGGGTAAGCTTGGGTATGTGAACCTCTATGATGTACATTCTCTCTGTGGATGCATGTGCATGTCAAATATTATTAAGAAAGAAAACTTAAGCAAGCAGCTGAGATTGGAGAACAATGCTTGATAAATGAATGCATGGGAGCTTCATCAACCTGAAATATTCAATTTCAATAGGCGATTGTATACCCTTCTCTCTTGAATTGTTGGTAAACATGTTCTCCTCTATTTTTGGGGCCAACATTTGAAGAAAGTTCGAAAATAATTAAGAAATATTCCATCTGTTATCTGCTAGATTGTTTTGCAATCAGGCAGTGAACTCTTGTAGAGAAATACCCTCTTTTTTTGGAGAATAAGGGACTTGGCTACAAATAGTCGGGATGAGAAACTAATGGAGGACTTCATTAAATTATGAAGACTAAAGATGCTTTCCCTTAGAAAATCACTCTAGCTACAAATAATTTCTTTTTTGTATTTAAAAAAAAAACTATTCAGAACAAGTTGGCCTAACTGAAGATTGTTTTGGTTGATTTTTCTGCTTCATGTTGACAACTGTTTTTGATGTTTGTTTGTATCTGCCAGAATAAATTTGGCTCAAAGAACCAGTTGCTCCACATAGTGCAAGAATCCCCTGATCTCTGTATCATTTCACCACTGTGTCTTCCTCGTATCATGTCATGTTTAGGTTGCTGGTCATTCATACTGAAATGCTGGTGATCTTCATTCTACTGAAATGCACGATTTAACTGAAAATATTATTGAGTTTGATGATATTTCGGATACTTTTCATGATCTACCTCAGAAGCACTATCCTTTAGTCAAAAAGGGAGGGAAGCTTTCGGTGATTGGCTTTCGGTGGCCGTTTTTTTTTTTTGAAAGAGGGAAGGAAAGGACAATGTCTTTGTCAAATGGCAGGAAGATCCAGAGGCACAGTGAGGCCACGTGCACGACTTCGGTCGACCGCCAAAGACCCGCGGTCGACCGCCAACCTGTCAAACTGAGTTCCTGAGCCCAAAACTGCCATTCTTGCCAATCCTACAAAAATCACCAACACCAAATTCGGATTATCGAGATCTGATAACAAAAATTAGTTATCACTCTGATTCTAGCACGTCTCAATGAAGGAAGCAATCCTTTCTCAATTTGTGAAGTGTTAGATTTGGGGGTGGAAACCAACCTCCGCCGGCGAGGAGCTCCGACGAGCTCCAGATGACGCAGGCGAACGCACCCCTCGACGAACGCGATCTTCGACGAACGCACCCCTCGACGAACGCGACCCCGACGAACGCACCCCTCGACGAACGCGACCCCGACGAATGCACCCTTCAACGCTGGCGACAGGTTGTCGCCAGCCTGTCATCTTCCCCTATATAAGAAACCCGATGCCCTAGGGTTTTTTAGAGCTGTGCGGCGCTGAGCTTCTCCCCCCTTCCCCGATTTTCTCTGGCGGCGGAACTCCCAGAAACGCAGCAGCGTTCTTTTCCTCTCCATTGAAATCGCAGCAGCGATTTGGGCCTTTTTCTCCAGCTCTCAATTGTGAGTTTTTGAGGGGAGATTAGAAAGAGATTAGAGAGAGAGAGAAGAAAAGAGGGGTTTAAATATTGTGGATATTATTTAATCTCAAGTGAGAAATTCAAAGGGTTTATTCCCTTTAATATTAACACTGTAGCTACAGTGTTCAATTTGAGAAATCTCAGTTTAGGGATTTGCTCGTGAATTGTAATTTCTTGTTTGATTAATAAGAAATTATCTGTGTGGCTCCCGAGGACGTAGGCAGTTGCCGAACCTCGTTAAAACTTGGTGTACTTTTTCTATTCTGCGTTTCCGTTGCATTAGGGGTTTCAGCGTTAAATTCCCAACAACTGGTATCAGAGCGTGAAACGATCTAGAACAAGTCAGATTCAAGTGGGAGCCATGGCCACAGATGAGGCAAAAATGAGACTTGAGAAATTTGATGGAACAGATTTCGGATTCTGGAAAATGCAGATAGAGGATTATCTGTATCAGAAAAATCTGTATCAACCACTATCGGGGAAGAAGCCAGATTCCATGAAGGCAGATGAGTGGAACCTTCTAGATAGACAAGCCCTCGGAGTTATCAGATTGACGTTGACTCGCAATGTTGCGTTCAACATAGCGAAGGAGAAGACCACGGCAGGTCTTATGGCAGCACTCTCAAACATGTATGAGAAGCCATCAGCCGCGAACAAAGTTCATTTGATGCGGCGGTTATTCAATCTGAAAATGGCGGAAGGCGCGTCAGTAGCACAACACCTCAATGAACTTAATACGGTTACAACCCAATTGAGTTCAGTTGAGATTGAGTTTGATGATGAAGTTCGGGCGTTGATACTTTTGTCTTCCCTACCAGAGAGTTGGAACGCTACAGTCACAGCTGTGAGTAGCTCGTCGGGAAAGAAAAAGTTGAAGTTCGGCGACGTTCGTGATTTGGTTCTCAGTGAGGAGATCCGACGGCGAGAGACTGGTGAAGCTACAACCTCTTCAGTATTGCATACAGAGTCAAGAGGTAGAAATTCAACCAGAGGAAACGGACGAGGCAAATCAAACCTCAGAGGTAGATCAAAGGACAGGAGGTCCAAATCAAGGAATCCAAGCAACAGCTCGAAGGCTATCGAGTGTTGGAATTGTGGAAAGACCGGGCATTACAAGAATCAGTGCAAGAGCGCACAGAAGGAGAAGGAAGCGAAGGCAGAGGTGAATGTCACCTCCACTTCAGGAGGAGACGACGCATTGATATGGAGGTGAATGTCACTTCCACTTCAGGAGGAGACGACGCATTGATATGCTCTTTGGAGAGCAAGGAGGAATCTTGGGTGTTAGATTCAGGAGCGTCGTTCCATGCTACCTCTCAGAAAGAATTCTTCGAGAAGTATACCCCCGGAAATCTTGGATACGTATATCTTGGTGATGATCAACCATGTGCTATTGTGGGCAAAGGCGTGGTGAAAATTAAGTTGAACGGGTCAGTATGGGAGCTGAAGGATGTCAGGCATATTCCCGACCTGAGAAAGAATTTAATATCCGTAGGCCAGTTGGCTGGCGAAGGATACACCACAACCTTCCATGGAGATGATTGGAAGATCTCAAAGGGCGCAATGACGATTGCCCGAGGCAGGAAGACTGGTACCCTATATATGACAGCAGGTGCACGTTGTTCGATCTCAGTTGCAGCAGGCAATGAGACTTCAAAGCTGTGGCACCAAAGACTCGATCATATGAGTGAGAAGGGGATGAAAATCATGCACACAAAGGGAAAACTCCCAGGACTGCAGTCAGTGGAGATGGATATGTGTGAAGAATGCATACTTGGAAAGCAGAAGAGAGTCAGCTTTCAGACAAGTGGCAGAACCCCCAGGAAGCAGAAGCTAGAGCTCGTTCACTCAGATGTGTGGGGACCAACAACCACCGCGTCCATTGGTGGAAAACACTACTTCGTGACTTTTATCGATGATCACTCTCGGAAAGTGTGGGTCTACTTTCTGAAGCATAAGTCAGAAGTATTTGAGGCTTTCAGGAGATGGAAAGCTATGGTCGAAAATGAGACCGGTCTGAGAATAAAGAAGCTCAGGACCGACAATGGCGGTGAATATGAAGACACCGGATTCAAGAAGTTCTGCTATGAGCACGGGATCAGAATGGAGAGAACCGTGCCCGGCACGCCTCAGCAAAATGGTGTAGCTGAGCGGATGAACCGAACGTTGACAGAGAGAGCCAGAAGCATTCGAGTACAATCAGGCCTACCGAAGCAGTTCTGGGCAGAAGCGGTCAACACAGCAGCTTACTTGATCAACCGAGGTCCATCGGTTCCATTGGAGCACAGAATACCAGAGGAGGTATGGTGCGGAAAGGAGGTAAAACTCTCACATCTTAAAGTTTTCGGTTGTGTAGCTTACGTGCATATTAGTGATCAAGGCAGGAATAAGCTTGATCCCAAGTCAAAGAAATGCACTTTCATCGGCTATGGTGAAGATGAGTTCGGCTACCGCATTTGGGACAACGAAAACAAGAAGGTGATCCGGAGCAGAGATGTGATATTCAACGAGAAGGTGATGTACAAGGACATGCACAAGACAGATGACTCAGAGAGCGAGTCAATATTTGTAGATGCAGATGATGTCCCGAGTAACCTCTCGGAAGAACCCAATGCAGAGGGTCCTCAGCAAGAAGAGCCTGTTGGACAAGATGGTGCGCAGGAGCCCGACGCACCAGCTCCGATATTAAGAAGATCTTCTCGTCCTCCTGTACCCAACAGGAGATACATGAACTATCTGTTGTTGACAGATGGTGGGGAGCCTGAAAGCTTTGATGAAGCTTGTCAGTGTGGAGATGCGAGCAAGTGGGAGCTTGCAATGAAAGATGAGATGAAGTCTCTCATATCAAACCAGACGTGGGAACTAGCTGAGTTGCCCACGGGTAAGAAGGCACTCCACAACAAATGGGTGTACCGGGTGAAAGAGGAGCAGGATGGTTCCAGAAGATATAAAGCCCGGCTAGTTGCACCCCTCGACGAACGCGATCTTCGACGAACGCACCCCTCGACGAACGCGACCCCGACGAACGCACCCCTCGACGAACGCGACCCCGACGAACGCACCCTTCGACGCTGGCGACAAGTTGTCGCCAGCCTGTCATCTTCCCCTATATAAGAAACCCGATGCCCTAGGGTTTTTTAGAGCTGTGCGGCGCTGAGCTTCTCCC